CAGATTCACACAAAAGTAAAGAATATATAAAATAAGAGACTGTACAGTAAGTAAGTAAGGGCAGCTTACAACTTAATGCAAACAAATACTGTATAGTTCAAAGCAAATACTGGTCAAAAGCTCAGAAATTCCGATTATACAGAGGAAGATGTTGCAACAGTTTGAAAAGATGAGACTTTGTGGTGGGGGGGTCAAAAATCCTATATCAGTGCTGAGGGTTTGTCTGAGTGGCGAGCCCAGTCTTTCAGGACAATACTACCATTTAGCTGGCTCTCTAAGACGTATTCCCCAACCCGCTGGTGAGTAGTTGCAGGAGGCTGATGGTAGTCTCTGTTCTACCGCTATTACTCACCAGGTACTCTCCGAGCTGTAGTAAAACTGAAAAGTATGACAGAAACCAGAAACTGTTTGTCTTCAAAGTAAACATTGCTCCTTTTGATATGTGCTGGGAGTAGAGTCAAGGCACAACTTTTAGTTGTTTCTGGTTTATGTCACACTTTTTGAAGTTTTACTACCACTCTGCCAGTAGCTCCCAACTACGGTAGTTGGGTAATGCACATTTTTCCCATGTGACTCTCTGGACCTGCCTGGGACCCAATATTGCATAGAGGAGGTTAACAGCAGTTTGTAGGTATTTCACATTGACTACACCATCAGCTTTTTACTATATTTCAATAGCTTCTTGACTTAGCCACAGACTTCAGTAAAATGAGTCATCGTAACTGAAAAGACAGGATGACAGTGCGTTTTCTTCTCTCTTTTTGCTTAAGTCCTCTGACCGCCATAGTAGGCGAAATTGAGACTAGTGTGAATAAATTTAGGTGACAATTTAGTATGAAAAGTTGTGACAAATTTGCTAAACCTGCAATAAATAGGTGAAGCACGATAAGAACTGCTGTGAGTGAGAAGGATGGTAAACAAACGAGCTGAGATCATTTAGTCTTGGAAAAAACACCACAAACACAAATTATTATTTTTTTTGTTATTTTTGCCTATAATTTTGAGTCCAGCTGCTGTGCTTAGACTAACATAGATATTTCTCTAGGTGCTTTCTTTTTGAGAGATGTTGTGCCCCTAGGCTAAGATGGTTAATTTTTCTCATATTAAAAATAACAAACAAACAAAACAAAAAAACCCTGATTATTCAAATCTCTAAATTGAGAATCCTATAGCTACATCGAATGCCAGTTATCGGCATGTGTAGCTCATCTGATTCTAGCTAAAGCCTCATCCTGTGTAGGCACCTTGCTCCAGGCTTTTGATGCTCACTGACCTGAAGGAAACGCTGCCACGCTCAGCCTCCACAGTGTACCTAGAAGTTGGCTTAGCATCAGTGTGGTGTCGCTTTAACTTACAAGAATTCATCAGCAATAACAAAGGAGGCGGAAAGGGACCATTACATTATTTTTAATTGAAGTGTGGATGTGCATTCATTCACGTCTCTCTCTTTGTAGCCGAGCCAAGTGGGAGATTGTTAAAGAGAAGCATGTCCAATTGTGTTTGAGGCACCAGTCAGCAGCCAGAAGCTTTGTTGTGACGCATGTACGGAAATAGACTAATAAACTTAGCACTCTGCAGTCTGGCTGGACATAATGATCAGCGAGAGAATTGGATGAGAGGGAGAAAAGAATTTAAGAGATACGCGGGGGTGAGGGAGAGGTTGGACAGATTAGTGAGATGATGGTATGACATGAACTCAGCAGGAGAAGGTCAAAGATGAGTTGATGAAGGAAAGAGAAGCTTGTTACAGAATTAACAAGTGAGGGAACCAGAGGCGGAAAGGAGAGCAGGAAGGAGAAAGGATTGATCTAATAGGCTTCCCACCAGGGATGTTAGCATTATGAAGGAAGGAGGCAGAGGAGGAGATGGAGAGGCTGACGGAGACGAGAGGGGGGGAAAAAATGGGTAAGGCGAGTAAAACACCAAGTGAAGTCAGTGTTTACAAGCACGTACGCAGAGAAGAGAAAGGAATGGAGCATCTTGAACACTGTAGCTCAGAGGAAGTCTGTCAAATTTCCTGTTTCCTTCTGTTTGCCTTCACTTGAAATAGAAAAGGTGTGTGTGTGTGTGTCAGTACCAGTGGGTGTTAAATTTATCCGTTCATTTGAGTCACAGGTCGCGTTTCCTAATAATCCTCTTGTGATAGTGAGAGAATATTGTCTTTGCAAACAACATGGGGGTTTAGTCAGGTGTTAAGTTACGCACGTGTAAACACACGCGCACAAAAATAGAGACTCATAAGCGCAAACACTTATAATCATGTAGAAAAAAGAACACAGACACACTACAGAAATACATGCACACACTGTGGCTAAGAAACATTGTGGAAACCAGGAATTACTTGTAAGCCCGATGGTGTTGGAATCAACACATCCCCCTCTGTGTAACTAGGTCACTGACTCAGTGAGACTATTTAAAGTTGTTTTTATATGTCTTTATGGAGTCAGTATGTCAAGCTTTTAGCCAGTGTCATCTTATGAGGATATTAAACCGTGAACAAACAGCCACGTGGCTCGGCATGACTATGGATGATACACTGATTTATTTTTGCTAGTTTAATATAGAATTAAAAGCTGTAAACAGCTGTTCATCACAAGTGTTTGGACCAATTTACAAGGAATTATTAAGGTAGACATGTTGTTTCCTTTACTGAGTAAAAAAACATGTTCTACATACTGAAGCCGCCAGCATTCACAGTCGTCTAAGCTACTGTTGGGGATCTGGTACCTTACATATAAAAAGGCACCTGGGAGCTGCTAAACACCCTCCCCTTCAGTCCTTTTACAATTTAGTGTTTCCATCTTCATTACTTCCACTTCACTTCCCTCCTCCCATCTTTTCAAACCTTCACTTATCTCTCCTCATCAACACCCCCCCTCCTTTTTTTTTTTTCTTCGACCCTTTGGAATTAGGAGGATTTCTGCATTTATCAATCCTACAATGTGCTCTGATCTTCATCTGAGTCACAGTTAGATATTTTTCTCATTTTTTGTCTCGCTTGCATTTCACAGCTTGTCTTCCCAAACTTTCTCTTCCTCTTCTTTACACATTTTTCTCTCCATCTGTCTCTCTTCCCCTCATCCTTTCTCTCTTGTGTATCCTCTCTCGCTCTCTCTCGGTCTCTTTCCTCCCTCTGGTCTGCCTCTCTTCCCTTCTCTCTCCCTTTATCTCTGCCTCGTTGTCAAGTGGTGACTCACTGGAGGCGTGCAGCCAAGGATTTGGCGTGCGCACAGACACACATGCATCGCGATCAGCCAAGAGTACCGCATGCAGGCCACATGCTGCACGTACTGCGCGCACATGCACACACAAAAGGCACTGCTGAGGGCCAAGGGTATGAGAGGCGGGTTAGAGACACACAGTCACACAGGCGCGATGCTCTGTCAGCCAAGTGAAAAGCAGCAAACAGCGTTGAGTCACATCACTGGAGCAGAAACATCAAAAGAAGGCACCAACACACACACAGTGTCTATTTTGACACCCAGTAATGATGCACAGCTTCTATGCGGATCTCTGCCTCCAATTCAGATTTTCGTGTGTTTCCAAATTGGCATGAATAATATTATATTTAATATAAATAATATCATCATATAACACTTGCTGTAGGAGGGAGAAAGGGACCATTATATTATTTTGCTTCCTGTCATTTGTTTATCACTTTTAGCTGTTTATGATGTCTTTGCCAGACACTATATGCCTAATATAGTGTCTGGCAAATGGTCTGTCTTTGAGCACATAAATCCCACTCACCTGTTCTTCACACCTTCTGTTTGCAAGGGGCAACCAATCAGGGAAAAGCTGGCTTAAAGGAAGTTAAATTGTTTATTTCACGTAGTGGATGAACTAATACCCAGTTTATGATGAACAAGTAGTTTTTGGAGCTTTATGCTTTTATCAGAGTGCAGTGGAGAGCAGACTGGAAAGTAGGGAGAGAGGGGGACTGGGGGAAGACACGTAGCACAGGGCCTTGGATTTGAAGCATTTAGGCTTGTGGCATATGGTCACCTGCTCCACCTGTGAGCTAAACTGGCACCCATTCATGTTTGTTTTAACTATAGACTATACAGAGTTACTCTAGTAGAGTCCAGCAGGCAACTATACTAAGCTGGAAATAACCACAATTAATTCCCTCCATAAAAATTGTTAGATGATTTTAGGTGTTAAAAAAAGGTATTAAAACAAAACAAGTGGGTGAAATGCTCTTTAGTAGGACTGGTCACCAGGTAACTGTTGTATGTTAAAAAGGAACTCAGATCCTCTAGACCAGCGGTCCCCAACCGTTTTTGCACCATGGACCGGTTTATGTCTGACAAACCTGTACCAAAAATAAAAGGACTTAATAATAGCACACGGGAAACGATGCAGGGAAACAGATTTAATAATAAAAATGATTAAAAAAAAGATAAAAAACTGATAAAAAAAACCCTGAAAACCATAAATTTCACACCCGAGCCTCAACTCTCGTGCCCCAGTACCAAACGACTCATGGACCGGTACCGGTCTGTGATCCGGGGGTTGGGGAACGCTGCTCTAGCCCCTGTTACAACAGTGGGAGGTCTTTAATGAGCTTGTTGAAGGTGCTACAACTTTCCCAGATGATGATTATTGACTATTAGTTTCCATTTATCACTTTGCATGATATGTTTATTGTTAGAGTGAGAGAATGTGTTTTCTTCTGAGTTGGATTTGAGAGTGAAATGATAAACAGTGGGTGTGTATCACATTGAAAATGGTTTGTTTGAACTGCACTCCTTTGGATGAGAAATAATAAAGCTGTGATTTACAGTTTGCCAGGGAAACTTGTTTTAAAATTCGATTATCGTTATAATACCTCTGTGTCTGTGCAGAACACGAAAGAGAATGTTAAATATTAGCGTTTGCATGCTTCTAGCTAAACACTGAACTGAACTCCCACTTTATGATTAATTATGCAGCAGGAATCAACCTCACTTCACCATAACACGGAGTATGTGCGTGTGCTTGTTATATTCCCGCTGCAGGTGAAGAAAACCTACAGTCATGGCACATACAGAGCTGGGGCCATGAGACAGATTAGCCTGGTGGGAGCTGTGGACGAGGAGGTCGGCAATTATTTCCCAGAATTCCTCAGCATGCTGGAAGAGTCACCTTTCCTCAAGGTGAGTCTGGGTGGGACAGCAGCGTGGCAGTAATCCTGACAAAGACAGAATGACTGAATGGAAAACGTGACAGAGGATTCAAACAAACAGATAAGATTTGAGCTTGAACTGGATATGGAAGTGAGTCCGCAAAATGTTTGTCTGCGACCTGAACTGAATGCAGTGAAATGCCTTTTAGAAAAAAGTAGCCGACAGAAAATAATAATACTTTAGGAACTGGATTTTAATCTTCTTTGTTTTAGCCAGAAGAGAGCCATTAAAACTTTGCTGGGTCGGCCCAGATACTCATCCTTAGTATCCTCTTGAGACATCCTTATTAATCGCTCATTGCCTCATGCTCTAAAAGCGTTCATTTTCATAATGTGCTACTATTTGTTCCAAGAAAACATCATCTGTTCTAGTAAAATTGTGCACGCTTAGTCAAGCTGTTGTGTGACGATGTTCAGCTGGCTGACATAGTGTCATCCCTGAACTCTAAAGTAGGATTTATTTACTCTACTTATTTACTTCCTAGTACCACATGTATGGTCTCATATTGCATTCAATAACTAGACTATTTTGACGCATTTGCACCGCTGATCATTTGGAAACACCAAACCGAGCAGATGGAGAATACTGCAAGACAAAACACCTAAAACTCTCAGCAGTGGCTGGCAAATGAGAGGCGTGTCAAGCGATTGACGCAGCTCCCTGTTTTAGTCCAGGAAGTTGTTTCTGTCTGCAGGAGCAGACCACGAAATGCTGCGTTTACTCACTGCTGTCCCTTAAATGCAGGAGTGACAGGCTCGTCTTCTGTTTGCTGTTCTATGTTGAGACTTCAAATCTCCTGCTCGCGCTGCGGAGGAGTGGCGTCGCACGCTGAATATCAAAAGACGCAGATCCTCTGGCGTTTCCTGTCTATGAACGGCTTTGGCTCAGATTCAGCACCCTCCGAATCATCCTGGGTGTCAGTGACAAGTTTTGCCAGGAGAGCAGTTTTTGCACACGAGATAAATAAAACACTTGATGAATTGGGTGCCGACTAAAAAGGCGATGCTTTGATTTTTATTCCCTTGTGTCTTCACTTTCCCTCCTCCTTCTTTTCCTCCTTGTCTGTCTGGCTCCAGAGGACTCTTCCATGGGGAACGTTTTCCAGTCTGAGGCTGATGAGTCCCACAGAGAG